TGGGGGGGGGGGGGGGGTATGGTGAGTAAGTCGCCCGCCCGTGTCCACCCTCGGCAGGTCGTGTGAGGTCGGGTTAAAGTTGTGGGGTAAATCCTCCCACACCGCTTCCAGGAGCGTATGGCACGGCCGTGGAAGAGTAGGCCAAAACCAAAAAACCCCAACCTCTTTAAGATGAGGCTGGTGGCTGTCTGGAGCTGCCCTCGAAGTGGAGGCCACTTCCGCCAACAGCGGCGTCAGCGGAGGCAATGGCAGGGCTGCGCCTTTATACGCGCCTGTGTGTGTGTCGGTGTCAGCGTATATATGTAACGCTTGCGAGAGTCTTAACGCGGTAGTTGTAGGTAGTAAAACTAGAAAACCATTGCACGATCGATGCCAAAGGGCAAGCCCGACATTCTTTGTTCGTGCAAAGTCGAGTGCGGCGTTTCACGACGGTCGTGACCCCCCTCCCCCCCTCCACGTGTCTGTCCCACCGTAGTCAGCAAAAAAAGAAACCCCGTGATCAAAACAACCGCATTACGTTTCCTGGGGACAAAAAAAATGTTTTAAACCCACAAACTCCAGCCGGCTTGAAAGTTGTACTCGCATTTGTCAACTCCCAGGTGCGCTGGAGGTCGGCATTCGGATCTTTTGTTGTTGTTGAAGGAGGAGGAGCTGCGTCGTGTCCCGTTATTTATTAAGGAGTGCAGGGCTCGTGATTTGGGGGGGGGCTGGGTGGCTCTTGAAATATTGAGAGGTTTTTTTTTCGTTTTACCGAATTCTAACCCCTGCCCAAAAAAAATTGTCGCGTTGGTTCGGCCAATTGCACCCCCCCTCCCCCCCCCCCAAAAAAAATTGAAATTGACCCCCCCCCCCGCAAAATGACTCGATTGGGATTATTTCAGTCGTCACCCCCAACGCGTGCCCCCCCCCCCCCCACCCACTCTTCCTTCCCCACCTCCACCGACACCCCTTCGGCTTGTCCATCCTGGCCTCTCAAGAGTATCTCAGCCGCTCGGGACGACGTTAGAGCTTGCAACTTGAGACTCGGAAAAACTCGCGAACGATTCGGGGGCAAGTTCATCACCTCCGTGCCCCCCTCGGAAGCTTGGTCGGAGGCTACGGTTCATTCGATTTGCAGCGATCCCTTTTTTTTATTACACAAGCAAATGCCCTTCGCCAGTTTAGACATTCCGGGGCACATCGGCGGCAGCAGCAGTCAGGCTCGTGAAACGAACTCTGCCGGATGAACCAGATGATGTTATTGGCCGGAGCACTCAATATAAACTATGACCCCACACACACACACACACCACCCCCTTACACCCCCCCCCCCCCCCCCCCCCCCCCCCCCCACGTGTTCCAACAATGCAAACATCAGGACCATAAAGAGGCGACTTTGGGAAGACTGCTCAGCACGGCTTTCCTGGATAAACAAAGACCATTGTTCTTTTTGTGAACGGGGAAGGGGGGGAGGGGGGTGGGCGGTGGGGGCGGGGGGGAGGAAGTGGGGAGTTGGCAAGAGCGGTGGCGCAGCGATTAGCGCTACGCTGCGCTACGAATCCCGGCGAGGCGAGTTCGATTCCCGCTCACGGTCACCACCGGTGACGATTATCGGAACCGTTTCTGGGCCTCCCCTAGGTCGACTGGGCCTCGAATGAGTGCCTGGGAGACAAAGGAGGCCCGGCGTGGTGCTGCCCCCCCCACCCCTTCGTGTGCCGTGCCGGCTTTCATAGGTGCTCGCCAACAGCACTTGCCCCGACAGTCTGTTGAAGCTATATGGGGGGGCTTTGTCTTTGAGGGGCAGGCAACTCGCACCCGCAACTGCGGCTGACCCAGCTTCCTCGGAGTCAATAAAGCATTTCCTAATACCATCTACACTTTTCTTTTTAACTTAGCAGGCAAGGCTCTTTGACAGCTCAACGAAGTGGGCTCATCTTCGTGTGGAAATGTATCGCAGTCAAATACTCTAAACCCACGTTGATTCTAAATGCGGAGAGGTAAACCGGCGGATCCGGAGACAAATCCACGCGACCACAGGGAGAGAGAGAGACACGCAGACACCAAATATACAGCAGCAGCAGCAGGCGTCATGGTCGGGATCGAACCCACGACCTCCTGTACACCAGGCGAGGTAGTTAACATCTCACACGTTGTCCTCACCCCGATTAGTACGGTTGGCTACGTACGGTGCACGAAAGAAGTTCGACATACATACAAAAAAATAAGATCCCCTGTGTAGACTTAACAGACTGTTGGGGCAAGTGCTGTTAGCGAGGAGCAGCAACAAGGAAGGCCGGCACGGCACACGAGGGGGTGGGTGGCCAGCACCACGCCCGGCCGCCTTTGTCTCCCCAGTGGTGATGTTCACACACCGCACCGGGTAACTCATTTGAGGCCGAGTCGACCTCGCGGAGGCCCAGCGCCGGTTCGGATAATCGTCACCGGTGTTGGCCGTGAGCGGGAATCGAACCCGGCGCTAACCTGCCACACCACCGCTCCCCACACGCAAACACACACACACACAGGGGGAGGTGGAGAGAGATAGAGCGGCCGGGCATTCCGGAGAGGCTCCTGAAGGACCGGGACCAAAAACACAGTGGCCCTTGTGAGGGCCCGGGACACACACGACCGGGTCCCCAGGACGGAAACACACACAGTGTGCCCCACTGTGTGAAGCCCTCCTTTTGTGAATGACCTCGGAAGATAATTTAACCATTTTTGACGCCCCCCACCCTCCACTCTCTGTAGGGGAGGGGAGGGGGCAGCCGTGGGTTGAAAGCCGAAGTTCAGAAGGCACACGACAGATAAGATACAAGGACACAGTTAATATACAAAGCCCAGCCTCCTCTGCCTGCTGTTGAACAGACGTCAATGTTCCGGTTTGTGGTGTCCTCATGTCGTGGGGAGCGCTAGCGTCGCGATTAGCGCTACGCTGCGCTCCGAACCCGGCGAGCCGAGTTCGATTCCCCGCTCACGGCAACCAACACCCAGTGGCGGTTATCTGAACCGGTCCTGGGCCTCCCCCTAGGTCGACTCAGCCTCAAATGCGTACCCGGTGCGGTGTGTAAAACATCGCCACCGGGGAGACAAAGGCGGCCGGGCGTGGTGCTGGCCACCCACCGCCTCGCGTGCCGTTCTGGCCTTCGTAGATGCTGCTACTCGCTCACAGCACTTGCCCCGACAGTCTGTTCCGGCTATACGGGGGATCTTTGTCTTTGGTGTCCTATGCAGGGTAAGGAGGGGAGGGAGGAGGGGGAGAAGTGGGAGGTTGGAGGCGGATATCTCCAGTGAGTGGGGCAGAGAAAGATCGAAGGTCGAATGATGGAACGTGTTGCTCGCAGCCAAAGTGGCGCTCCGTCTGAATTTCGAACCCCCCCCCCCCTTGCCCGCTCCCCACAACTTCCCTGCGGTGGAAGTTTCTTTTCGAGCGCGCGCAACTTCTACCGTGCGAACCGCCGTGAGCGGGACCGCCACCTGACGGGCGAGGCGTGGAATCGCTCCGTTCCGCCCCGTGTTAGGGACAAAGGCGGCAGTGGCTGCTCTGCACCGGGGGGGAGGGGAAGGGCAATCCGATCCACTCCGATACACGGGGGCGACAGACGCGTTCCCCGGAAAAAAAAAAAGTTTCCCGGAATGCTGAAGCCCCGTATATCGAGTTGCCGTACAACCGGGGTCGACCTGCGCATGGAAGTCTCATGCCTGGGCGGTGGGCACATCTGGTGCCATCCGCCAGTCGTATCGGTCACAATCGGAATATTTACGCAGGAGGAATCCGATGAGCTGCGAAGCTCTTTTTCACCAGGCCTCCAGTCGTTTCGCAGATGTCCAGTAGTCGGACAACCCACGGTACCTGGAGGGTCTGTCCCGTGACCTCCTGTCAGCAGCGAGCCTCCGATGCTTCGCGTCGCCTCGGTGCCTGAATGGCTGCTGCTGCTGCTGTTGTTGTTGTTGGGGGGTGGAGGGATCACGGTTGGAGCGGCGTGGCAGAGTGAAACTCGACGCGCTCGAGGGATCCGCACGCGGTCCACGGAGCCGCTCGCTCCCTGCGGGCTTCGCCGACGTTACCGCGATGGCGTTCCCGGCATGCGCAAACGCACGCGGGAGCAGCGCGTCAGCCCGTGCGTTTGTAACGAGCGGTCTGCGCAAGCGGATATCACGGAAGCTGATGCCGGGGTCTGTTCAAGTTGCAGCGCGTTGTACGTCTTGAGGCGTAACATTTTTCTTTGCATTGAAAATCGCGTTGCAGTGTGAAAGGGTTTAAAAAAAGCCCCTTTAACCGGCATGCTTGGTGTGTCAGTGGGCGAGGAAGTGGCTGGGTGGTAAATAGACCAGTGGGTGAGTCTGTGAATGGGTAAATGGGCCAGTGGGTGGGTGACTAAGTGGGTAAATAGACCAGTGGCTGAGTCTGTGAATGGGTAAATAGGCCAGTGGGTGGGTGACTAAGTGGGTAAACAGACCAGTGGGTGAGACTGTGAATGGGTAAATAGACCAGTGGGTGGGTGACTAAGTTGGTAAATAGGCCAGTGGGTGAGTCTGTGAATGGGTAAATAGGCCAGTGGGTGGGTGACTAAGTGGGTAAATAGACCAGTGGGTGAGTCTGTGAATGGGTAAATAGACCAGTGGGTGGGTGACTAAGTGGGTAAATAGGCCAGTGGGTGAGCCTGTGAATGGGTAAATGGGCCAGTGGGTGGGTGACTAAGTGGGTAAATAGACCAGTGGCTGAGTCTGTGAATGGGTAAATAGGCCAGTGGGTGGGTGACTAAGTGGGTAAATAGACCAGTGGGTGAGTCTGTGAATGGGTAAATAGACCAGTGGGTGGGTGACTAAGTGGGTAAATAGACCAGTGGGTGAGTCTGTGAATGGGTAAATAGACCAGTGGGTGAGCAAGTGGGTAGATAGATGAGTGCGTGGACGAGTGGGCAAATAGGCCATGGGTGAGTCCATGGCTGGGTAACCAGACGAGCGGATGAGCGCACGCGAACTCCCCTCCCGCTGACCCTGGCCCATGCCGCGTGCCGCAGATCCCCCACGCGCCGGGCACCGCCGCCGAGTGGGGCGCCGACCGCCTGAAGCGCGAGCTGGAGAGCGAGCTCAAGCTGGAGAGCGAGGACGTGCGCAGCCACGCGTGGTACCACGGCGCCATCCCCCGGCAGGCGAGCGCCGCACCCGGCACACGCAGCAGCGGGGCGACGTCGCCACGGCGATTGCGCCGGGATAGACGCACCTCGGGGCTGTCGCGTGGATGCACCCCGAGTCGCCGGCGTCTCCCCGCTATACGCCAGCTTGCTGCGTTTCAGCCGCCCCGCGACTGAAACGCGACACCTATCTCTAACGTTAACACGACCACCAACGCTAAGCCGATCTCGAACACTAACACCGTGAACGCTAAGCCTAGTTTTTACGCTAAGCCTATCTCTAAGCCTATCTCTAACACTAACATTGCCACCAACACTAAGGCTATCTTTAACGCTAACATTGCCACCAACACTAAGCCTATCACTACAACAGCTCTATCCCTAACAACACATTCCTGCGGAGGGAGCTGGTAGGAACGTTGGGTTGCTCGGTCAATGGCCAGGGTCAACGGCGGCACCACGTGGTGTATTCCGCAAATATGCCCGACTGTGAGGGTGGGCACAAGCCGGCGTGAGTAGGTTAAACGTTGAGTTTTATAAGGGCACCACGGGGTGACCAGCCCCTCCCCACCCAGCCCCTCCCCACCCTCCCCACCCAGCCCCTCCCCACCCTCCCCTCTCCACCCAGCTCCACCCCTCCCATTTTTGGATGCACGACGGACGGACGGACACAATAATCCCCTGTGGGCTGGTGTAACCAGGAGGTTCCTGCCAGTATTAACCCTCCTCTAACTGTATCCCTAACACTAACATTACTACCAACATTAAGCCTATGACTAACAAAAACACAACCCCAAACACTAACCCCATCGCAAACATTGTAGTGGTTCCACCCCAAACACTTACCCTACCCCTCTCTAAATCTAAACTTTTTTTATTTTACCAGATAAGGCCAACTGAGGTCAATAGAAGCGACCTGGCCACCAATTTTATCTCAACTTAGTGGCTAATCTTCGCGTGGAAATGTATAGCAGCCAAATACTATTAAACACGTGTTTCTAAATGTGGAAGGGAAAACCGGAGGACTCGGAGAAAAATCCACGCGACCACGAGGAGAGAGAGAGGGGGAGACACGCAAACTCCAAATATACAGCAGCAGGCTTCAGGATCGAGATCGAACCCACGACCCCATGTATACCAGGCGAGGTAGTTAACATCTCCTAGCCACCGTGATGATGATGATGAGAGAGAGAGACACGCAAACTCCATATATAGAGCAGCAGGCGTTGTCAGGGTCGGGATTGAACCCACGACCTCCTGTATACCAGGCGAGGTAGTCAACATCTCCTAGCCACCGTGATGATGATGATGAGAGAGACACGCAGTGACACCGCGTGAACCCCGCCGTCGTCGACGCCCCCACCCCACCGTGACCGCCGCAGGTGGCCGAGTCCCAGCTGGAGCGCGACGGCGACTTCCTGCTGCGCGACTCGCTGTCGGGCGCCGGCGGCCTGGTGCTGTCGTGCCGCTGGGCCGAGCGGCCGCTCCACTTCCGCGTCGAGCGCCGCACGCCCACCGCCGCCGCCGCGGCCCAGCAGCGCGCCTCCGGCGACGGCCACCACCGGCGCTCGCTCGGCGACTCCTACGCCATCCAGCCCGGCGGCGACGGCTTCGGCAGCGTCCCGGCGCTCGTGCGCTTCTACGTCGGCAACCGGCAGCCCGTGGCGCCGGGCCAGCCGGGGCCCGGCGGGTTCGGGCCCGTGTGCATCGCGCGGCCGGTGAACCGCGCCGTGCCGCTGGCGTACCTCGCCGCCGTTCACCGCGACGCGGCGCGGCTGGCGGAGCTGGCGGCTCACGGCGGCGCCGGCAGCGGCGGCGGCAGCAACAACAACAACAACAGCTGCGGCTTCGATAGCTTCTACCGGCAGGAGAGGCCGGAGCGCCACGCGGGCTGCGCCGGGAACCACGGAGCCGGCGGCGCCGGCGGCTGCTGCTGCGGCGACGGCGGCGGCGGCGGTTGCGACGGCGGCGGCGTCAGGGGTCATCAGGGGTCATCGAAGCGTCATCACCTGGCGGACGCGTCCTACAGGTCAGCGGTGGCACTCGCGACGGCGCGACCCGAGGTCGAATCTGTCACCGATGAGAACCTCCACGGTGAACGATGTTGTTGTCGACCCGGCGAACCGGAGGTCGCCGGCTGGATTCCATCTCCCGCCTCCGCCCGCACGGCGATAGCAATGGGTCTCGTGCGTCGGGGTAAAGTGTGGGTGTCACCGCCACCACTTGCAGTGGGTCTCGTGCGTCGGGGCAAAGTGTGGGTGTCACCGCCACCACTTGCAGTGGGTCTCGTGCGTCGGGGTAAAGTGTGGGTGTCACCGCCACCACTTCCAGTGGCATCTGGCCCGCCGGTGGAAGAGTCGGCCAGAACACCTTCGACAGGGGCGCTTGCTGCAAAGCCCTGTCCGCTCGCAGCGGTGCGGTGAGCGAAAAATTGCAGGTCTGCTCCTCCGCCTTGTTAATTAGCCCGATGTCACGGCTCAGCGAGATGCATTGCGCCGGCGACGTTTATAATTATTTTTATTTAGTGGAAATTCTTCTTGATCATCGGAAGGTTTGTCCGTTTTAAGGATTGACGGCTCTGCGATGTGCCGTTGCGTGTGGACGCGATGTGAAATCCGAGCTGCGTCCGTGTGTTGTTGTTGTTGTTGTGGCTGCAGGAACGGCATGGTGTTTGATTGGACGCAGGACGGAAGGGGATCTGAACCGCACGCCCAGGGACAGACGCTGCCGGGATACGGCACCGGTGGGTGAACGCGCCGCTCGCGTCGAGCACGCAAAGACAAAGGTCCCCCGCGTAGCCTTTAACGGACCGCTGGGGCAAGTGCTGGTAGCGAGCACCTATAAAGGCCGGTACAGCACACGAGGGGGTGGTTGGCCAGCACTACGCCCGACCGCCTTTGTCTCCCCAGTGGCGATGTTTATACACCGCACCAGGTACTCAATTGACGCTGAGTCTACCTAGGGGAGGCCCAGGACCGGTTCAGATAATCGTCACTGGTGTCGGCGGTGAATAGGACTCGAACTCGGGTCGCCGGGTCCGTGGTGTAGCGCGCTAACTGTTGCACCACTGCTCCCCACGTACACAGACAAACGTACACACACAATCACACAGAGGCGCGCGTCACGCTACAGAGTTGCCCCATTGTTCTTGGTAACGCGTTCCCCCGGCAGCCCGAGTGACAGGGAGGCACGTGGTGGACGCTAACCAACCGCTACACCACACACAAGCGCGCACACACGCGAACACACACACACAAAGATCCCCCATATAGCCTTAACGGACAGCAAGTGCTGTTAGCGAGCACCTATGAAGGCCGGCACGACACACAAGGGGGTGGGTGGCCAGCACCACGCCCGGCCACCTTTGTCTCCCCAGCGACGATGTTTACACACCGCACCAGGTACTCATTTGAGGCTGAGTCGACTTTTAAACACACGACACAGAGCACGTGCCAGTTCCATTACAGTCCCAATGCTGCCGACGAACGATCGCCGCCGTGATTCCCGCACCTCCGATTGGCGCGGTTGGCCACGCACGACGCGAAGCAAGTTCAACACACACACACACGCACACACGCACACACACACACACGCGCACACGCGCACACACGCACACACGTACACACACGCACACACACACACACACACGCACACACGCACACACGTACACACGTACACTCGTACACTCGGCTCGACGTTCGTCCGGTTTGGCGATCCGGAACATATTTCCCTACCCGGCGCACCACGTCCAGTACACCTCTCGGCACGGCCGGCACTCACAGCAGCAATCGAGAATTCGAACCCCACATCACACGCGGCGCCCACGGAGATTGACGAGCGTGGATCCTGTCGCACGTCCGGCGTTGCAGGGGCGGACATCTGGCGGGACGGCCTTCGCAGGACCCCCACCTGGTCGCCCAAGGGCCTCCGGTCCGCGCAGCCGTCGGCGCGCGCCGACCCCTCCTGGACGTCGCCGCTGCCGCCGCCCGCCAACGGGCCGCTGGGGGCGGTCCCCGGTTTCGGCAAACACGCGGAGGAGCGGCTGGCGGGCGACTCGGAGCCGTACCACTCGCTCATCTCGCCCCACAAGGTCTCGGAGGCCCTCGCCCGGGACGTGGCCGCCCTGCGGCTGGAGAGCGACGTCAACGCGGCCGCGGCCGCCGCGGCCGCCGCCAAGCAGAGCCTGCTGCCGCCGCCGCCGCCGCCGGCGGGCCCGGCGCGCGAGGCCTCGGCCGCGGGCGGCGGAGACGCCGGCGCCGCCGCGGCGTCGGCGGAGTTCCGCCGCCCCGCCGTGGAGACGGAGTCGGCGTTCCGGCCGCTGGAGTTCGCGTCGTTGCTGCTGCCGCCGGAGAACAAGCCGCTGGAGACGGGGGTGCTGCGGCGCGCCAAGGAGCTGCAGGGCGAGTGCGACGTGCGCACGGCCGCGCGCTGCATCATGCTGCTCGACTGCGAGGTGAGAGGTCTCCGTCGGCCCGGTTGTCGCCGGCGGTCGTGCGGCGCGGCCGAAGCCGCGATGAATCGGCGGCGTTGGCTCACGCGACCGTGGCGGCGCGGGTGATGAGACCCCCCCCCCCCCCCCCCCGCCGCCCGCGCTCCCCGCAGGTGGCTCGCATCACCGGGGTGACGGAGGAGCTCGTCCTGAAGATGGGCGTGCGCTCCGGCCTGGAGCTGCTCACCCTGCCGCACGGACGGCGGCTCAGAGAAGACGTCATCGAGCGGTGAGTGTCCTCCGCCGCCCCCGTCCACTCCGTAACCGGGCGCGCCCCGGTTTGGCCGCGCGGGATCCGCCGGGCGACGCCGATTTTTAGCCGCGGGGCGAACGAGTCCCGGCCCCCGCGTCGTGCAGCCTCCTGGCCTCTGACCCAGAGTGGTGCCATCGCCTTGACCCCCCTCTGTTTAAGACGGTAACGGGAGGAGATATTCGCGGTCCTGGCTGTTGCCTGATGATGCTCGCCGTCATAATCACCGGCGAAACGTCACGGTACTCGAACTGTAAATGTCGTGGGTTTTACTCTCAGACACGCAACCGGTGTGCTGGCACGTTTTGTTGACGTGACAAACCTTGCTGATTGGCTGTGTCGGGTTTAACGACCCGTTTATATTTACACAATCTAACCCAACAACAACAAAAACCTAGGTTATTTGGCGACATATTGGTCGCGAAAGCCCCACTCCTACGCATTAAACTAACTATTGTTTCCCTTCAACGTGACTTAACCGAAAGAGCTAAGAATATAAAGCCCACGTGTTCGTTCGATTCCGCACTTGCCCCGACAATTCGCTAAAGGCTACGCGGGGGGGGAGTGGGGGGGCGAAAATCTTTACCCTCGTCTCTGTCTCCCCCTTCTCCCCCGTCTCCGTGTGTCCATCTCCCCCATCTCCCCCGTCTCCCCCTTGTCTCCCGTGTCTGTCTCCCCCATCTCCCCCGTCTCCCCCCGTCTCCCCCGTCTCCCCCATCTCCGTCTCCCCCATCTCCCCCATGTCCCCCGTGTCTCCCGTGTCTGTCTCCCCCGTGTCCCCCTTGTCTCCCGTCTCCGTCTCCCCCGTCTCCGTGTGTCCATCTCCCCCATCTCCCCCGTCTCCCCCTTGTCTCCCGTGTCTATCTCCCCCATCTCCCCCGTGTCCCCCGTCTCCCCCGTCTCCGTGTGTCCATCTCCCCCATCTTCCCATCTCCCCCGTGTCCCCCTTGTCTCCCGTCTCCGTCTCCCCCGTGTCCCCCGTCTCCCCCCGTCTTCGCTCACCCAGGTTCCACGCGCTGGCGATCGGCTTGGCCGTGGACGTGCTGGGCTGCACCGGCTGCCTGGAGGAGCGCGCCGAGCTGCTGCACCGCTACGTGCAGCTGGCGCTGGAGCTCCGCGGGCCGCTGGCGGACCTCTACGGATTCTCCGCCGTCATGCACGCGCTCATGCTCCCGCAGGTGGGGACGGCGGGGGCAGACGTTGGGGCGACGTTAGGGCGACGTTGTTGGGGCGACGTTTTTGTGGGGTGAGGTTGTTGGGGCAACGTTGGGGTAACGTTCAGGTAACGGGATAACGATGTTGGGGTAACGTTGTTGGGGTTACATTGGGGCGACGTTGTTTGGGTAACGTTGTTGGGGCAACATTGGGGGCAACGATGCTGAAGTTACGTTGGGGCAACGTTGGAGTAACGTTGGGGTGAGTGGGGTGAGTGGGGTGGGCGTCTTTGGCGATCGTCGTGATCGTGACGTGCGTCCTCCAGGTGTCCCGTCTGGAGCGGACGTGGGAGGTGCTGCGCCGGGCCCACACGCAGAGCGCGGTCGCCTTCGAGAAGGAGCTCAAGCCCTTCCTGCTGGCGCTGCAGCAGGGCAAAGGTCAGCCGCCCTGTCCCCGTCTCTCTTCTCTCTCTTGGGCTCGCTCGGGGTGGGTCGCGCTGGCGGGGGTCTGTGGGTCACACCCGGTGTAGGTCGTAGCGTCAGCTGACTAGGCCGTGGCTCGGCGGACGGGACAGGATTCGCCGGGTGGCTTGAGGGAGGGAGGGAGGGAGGGGGTCGTGGGGTCACCTCGTAGGCAAGTTGGGCCATCGATGGAATTCGGCCAAAACGTCCGAGTGCAGGGTCCCGCCAATGGGGGGCGTCGTTTATCCGTCACGGGGTGCAACGCCGCGGCAATTTCAAAGCGGTTCTCAGCTGCCCCCACGATGCCCCAAATGGAACTGTTGGGTCACATTCAAGAATCCCCCGCAGATAAACACCCGAGGATTAATACCAATGATGTCATCATCATGATGGTGATAGTTCTCAATGTAAACGTCAACAATCTCCGCACGCTTCCAACGTAATGGCTCACTCTGTCTCTCTCCCTCTCTCTGTTTCTCTCTCTCCGGCTCTGTCCGTCTCTCTCTCTGTCGCTCTCCGTCTCTCTCTCTCCATCTCTCCGTCTCTCTCCGTCTCTCTGTCTCCCTCTGCCCCTCTCTCTCTCTGTCGTCTCCCCTCTCTCGTTGCCCACCGCAGTGCGCGTCGACGCCCGGGACACCAGCGTCCCGCACCTCCTGCCGCTCGTCTCCCTCCTGGAGGAGCCGATGCTGCCGGCGGAGCCGTCCGCCGCCGGCCCGGTGTGGTCGCCGCAGCCGGCGGAGAGGACCGGCTCGGGCGGCGACTGGGAGCGGGAGTGGGCGCGCGGCGCCGCCGCCGGCGAAGCGTGGGAGCAGCCGGGCGACGCGGGGATGGAGGCGGTGGTGGCGCACCTGCAGGCCGGGCGGGAGATGGCGCGCGACGCCGCCCTCTACTCCGCCAACGCCGAGCGCCGGCTGAGAGGTGCGGGGCGGGCGGCTTGCGATTCGCGGCTTGCAGGCGAGGGCAAAGGAGGGGTAGGGGTAGTGATAGCGGTAGGGGTAGGCCTGGTCCTAATTGGCGGGCGGGAAGCAGCAGCAGCAGCAGCAGCGTCAGCGTCGTCATCGTTGCGTCACCGTCCCAGCCGCTTCCACGCCGAGCCCACGGCGCGCCACTCCTCGACCTCCCCGATCGGCACCGGCGTCGACCGCGGCACCGGCCCGTGCCGCACACGGCACACGCGCCCCTGCCGGCCTCCGTAAGGACTCTTGCCACCCCCCTGTGATCCACGTGCGCACGTGGGGCGGGGGGCCTTGAATAATGAAAAATAAATATTAATTTTTTTATTTACTTTTTTTTATCAGGTAAGGGCCAGCTGAGCTGTGTTGCTCTTGTTCAGAAGCGACCCTCGCCATCAACGAAGTGGCGGCTTATCATCATCATCGTCGCGTGGAAATGTACAGCAGCCAAAAGCTCCTGACGCGAGACGTTGATTCTAAATGTGGAAGGAAAAACCGGAGGACCCGGAGGAAAATCCACACCCCCAACAATGGGGCGAGAGTGAGAGACACGCAAACTCCAAATATATAGGGTCGAGATCGAAGCCACGACCTCCTGTATACCAGGCGAGGTAGTCAACATCTCGCCAAAAAAGTTGTCCTTACCCGCGCACGCTCCGATTGGCGCGGCTCTCTACGCACGGCGCGAAAGACGCTGTGCACGGTGGCGCGTCGTCCCCCCTTTGCGGCGCTCCCCCCCCCCACCCCCCGTGCCCGCGTTTGTCGCCGACGCTCACCGATCGCCGTGCTGTCGCCCGCCAGGATTCTCGGTGGACCCCGCGACCCTGGAGACGTTCCGCACCGAGTTCCACCTGCGCCTGTACTGGGGCAGCCGCGGCTGCCGGGCCGAGCGCCACGAGCGGCTGCACAAGTTCCACCACATCCTGTCGGCGCTGTCGGCGCGCCTCGAGTCTCCGCAACGCCACTCCGAGCTCTGACACGGCTCGGCAACGACGCCGGCGCTGGCTCCGGCACGACGGCACGGCTCGGAGGGAGGAGGAGGAGGACGAGGGTGACGTGGCAAAACGATTTCCCCCGCCGGCGCCCGCTCGTGTCGGCGCAGTGTTCGCCGGCACCACTGACGCCGCCGGTGTCCGGCGAGCGCCGGGACCGCGACGGATCCCCCCTGGGGCGACGTAGAAGCGGCTTCGCGAGGAAGCCCAGTCGTCTCTGCCGGTGGCGTTTTATTTTTGTCGGTGCCGCCGAGACCGCTGGCCGGCGACGATGACGGGCGTGGAGCCCCGGCCGCGCTCGATTGTAAGCGACGGACGGACAAATGAATTTGGCCGTGTACGAGGAGGACACGGAGGACGAGGTGGAGGAAGACGAAAATGTGAAGGGAGGACCGACGCGGAATCACCGTCGTGAATTGTGACGGCGAAGGGCGTCCAACCAAAACACTGGAGAGGCCGCGCGGGGGGGGGGGTCCCCCATCAGTTGGGGGTGAGGGTGGGGGGGTGGCGGAGATGAGCGGCCACCGCGCCGTGGCTTGGTGCAGTGGTTTTCGCGGACGCTTTCTTTCGCCCCTAATGCACAAACACAAAAAAAATGAAATTTCCGCAAAGACTCACGATCGACGGGCGCCTGGAACGGGCAAAACGCTCGGGCGGGAAACACGCGACACGTTCCCTCCCCCACAAAAAAAACACAAAACGCACGGCTCCCAATCTCGGCGCAGCCGCGCGACGCACCGGGAGCCCAGAAACGCGGCGCCGGGCTACGCGGCGCCTACCGCGGAAACCAACGACAGGGACTGCCAGCTCCGACGTCATCGCCTCCGCTGCCCGATCGGTGCCGCTATGACGATGCTCGCGGCCGGCGAATCGTTAAATAAAATTGGAGGGCCGCCTCGATCCGGGCCGCGGGGTCGCGGATAAAACGAGGGCACGGGCCCAGAGGGAATTCATCCGTGGTTCCATTGCGCGCACCACGGTGCCCTACTCCCCGCGGTGCCCTACTCCCCGCGGTGCCCTACTCCCCGCGGTGCCCTACTCCCCGCGGTGCCCTACTCCCCGCGGTGCCCTACTCCCCGCGGTGCCCTACTCCCCGCGGTGCCCTACTCCCCACGGTGCCCTACTCCCCACGGTGCCCTACTCCCCACGGTGCCCTACTCCCCGCGGTGCCCTACTCCCCGCGGCCTACAAGACGAGATTCGCCGCGTCCGGCCCGGAGGTTGGGGACCCGATGTCGTTCCCCGTCCCCCATTTATTGAAAGACACGCTTTGCACTACGCGGTGACTCCTGAGTCGCCGCCAGCACCACCTTTAGTATTTCTCAATCGGAACGCGAGAGAGGCGTGGCGGTCGACCACGGGCACGTTTTAACCGGCGGCGGGTGGCGGCGGCGGCGGTGACGAAATTATTTTTGAAACGACGACGACGCGGTTTTTTTGTTGTAAATAACGGTCAAGGTAAGTTATGAAACGTGCCGAGCGTAAATGTGGACACGCGCAAGGAGAGCTCGCCCCCCCCCCCCGCCGCCTCGCCTGGGAGGCGCGTGGCGTCGCCGTTCGTTTACGGATCTCGCGACTGCGTTCGTGCGTTTGCCCCGCCGGAAACGAATTTGTCCTGTAAAATAAAAGATGGAATATATAACGACATCGATTACAACAAAAAAAAAACACTTTTCTTTTTGGCGATCTCTTCAAACAGCGCCCCCTCGCGTTCTCGGTTCCCGTTCGGTCGTGCCGGTTCCGGTGTCCCGGTTCTGTCGCTCGTCACGGAGCTTCTAACGAAACATGTAAGTCTATGCGTCTCTATGCGAGTCTATGAGTCTCTGTGTGAGTCAGTGGTGACGGGCTAAGACCATCAAATGACTACACTTGAGAACCAGATTTAATCACAAGAGGTCTCCATGTAAGTCTATGGGTCTCTAGGTGTGCTTGTGGGTCTCTATGCGAGTCTATGAGTCTCTGTGTGAGTCAGTGGTGACGGGCTAAGACCATCAACTGACTGCACTTGAGAACCAGATTTAATCACAAGAGGATTCCATGTAAGTCTATGGGTCTCAATGCGAGTCTATGAGTCTCTGTGTGAGTCAGTGGTGACGGGCTAAGACCATCAACTCACTGCACTTGAGAACCAGATTTAATCACAAGAGGTCTCCATGTAAGTCTATGGGTCTCTATGTGTGCTTGTGGGTCTCTATGCGAGTCTATGAGTCTCTGTGTGAGTCAGTATTGACGGGCTAAGACCATCAACTGACTGCACTTGAGAACCAGATTTAATCACAAGAAGATTCCATGTAAGTCTATGGGTCTCTATGCGAGTCTATGAGTCTCTGTGTGAGTCAGTGGTGACGGGCTAAGACCATCAACTGACTGCACTTGAGAACCAGATTTAATCACAAGAGGCCTCCATGTAAGTCTATGGGTCTCTATGTGTGCTTGTGGGTCTCTATGCGAGTCTATGAGTCTCTGTGTGAGTCAGTGGTGATGGGCTAAGACCATCAACTCACTGCACTTGAGAACCAGATTTATAATCACAATAGGATCCCATGTAAGTCTATGGGTCTCTATGCGAGTCTATGATTCTCTGTGTGAGTCAGTGGTGACGGGCTAAGACCATCAACTCACTGCACTTGAGAACCAGATTTAATGACAAGAGGATTCCATGTAAGTATATGGGTCTCTATGCGAGTCTATGAGTCTCTGTGTGAGTCAGTGGTGACCGGGCTAAGACCATCAACTCACTGCACTTGAGAACCAGATTTAATGACAAGAGGATTTCATGTAAGTCTATGGGTCTCTATGCGAGTCTATGGGTCTCTTTGTGAGTCAGTGGTAACGGGCTAAGACCATCAACTGACTGCACTTGAGAACCAGATTTAATCACAAGAGGTCTCCATGTAAGTTTATGGGTCTCTATGTGTGCTTGTGGGTCTCTATGCGAGTCTATGAGTCTCTGTGTGAGTCAGTGGTGACGGGCTAAGACCATCAACTGACTGCACTTGAGAACCAGATTTAATCACAAGAGGTCTCCATGTAAGTTTATGGGTCTCTGTGTGTGCTTGTGGGTCTCTATGCGAGTCTATGAGTCTCTGTGTGAGTCAGTGGTGACGGGCTAAGACCATCAAATTACTGCACTTGAGAACCAGATTTAATCACAAGAGGATTCCATGTAAGTCTATGGGTCTCAATGCGAGTCTATGAGTCTGTGTAAGTCAGTGGTGACGGGCTAAGACCATCAACTCACTGCACTTGAGAACCATATTTAATCACAAGAGGATTCCATGTAAGTCTATGGGTCTCTATGTGTGCTTGTGGCTCTCTATGCGAGTCTATGAGTCTCTGTGTGAGTCAGTATTGACGGGCTAAGACCATCAACTGACTGCACTTGAGACCCAGATTTAATCACAAGAGGATTCCATGTAAGTCTATGAGTCTCTATGCGAGTCTATGAGTCTCTGTGTGAGTCAGTGGTGACGGGCTAAGACCATCAACTCACTGCACTTGAGAACCAGATTTAATGACAAGAGGATCCCATGTAAGTCTATGGGTCTCTATGCGAGTCTATGAGTCTCTGTGTGAGTCAGTGGTGACCGGGCTAAGACCATCAACTCACTGCACTTGAGAACCAGATTTAATGACAAGAGGATTCCATGTAAGTCTATGGATCTCTATGCGAGTCTATGGGTCTCTGTGTGAGTCAGTGGTGACGGGCTAAGACCATCAACTGACTGCACTTGGGAACCAGATTTAATCACAAGAGGTCTCCATGTAAGTCTATGGGTCTATATGTGTGCTTGTGGGTCTCTATGCGAGTCTATGAGTCTCTGTGTGAGTCAGTGGTGACGGGCTAAGACCATCAACTGACTGCACTTGAGAACCAGATTTAATCACGAGGTCTCCATGTAAGTCTATGGGTCTATATGTGTGCTTGTGGGTCTCTATGCGAGTCTATGAGTCTCTGTGTGAGTCAGTGGTGACCGTGCTAAGACCATCATCTGACTGCACTTGGGAACCAGATTTAATCACAAGAGGTCTCCATGTAAGTCTATGGGTCTCTTTGTGAGTTTGTGGGTCTCTATGCGAGTCTACGAGTCTCTTTGTGAGTCAGTGGTGACGGGCTAAGACCATCAACTGACTGCACTTGAGAACCAGATTTAATCACAAGAGGTCTCCATGTAAGTCTATGGGTCTCTATGCGAGTCTATGAGTCTCTGTGTGAGTCAGTGGTGACCGTGCTAAGACCATCATCAACTCACTGCACTTGAGAATCCCCGTTTCATCACTGGCAGCGACTGTTACCTAATTTCAGCAAAGCTGTCACCCCATACGGTTTACCCCGTATTCTTGTACAGGGAAATTCAGCTCCATACGGCGTACAGCCGTTTCAATTCGTGCAAACAAAATGTCAATTTGTCTCACTTACCCCGCACCTCTTTATGAAATAACTACGCAGGCTGTTCTGTCCACTTTTACCCCTTTTTTCCACCAGCACATCCGAGCCGGAACCAAACCGTGCTACGCTGGCCCTCTCAAGACGTCCGAATCTGTGCTGGGGGCCAAGCAGGGCCCAGCGGCACGGCTCGGGGTTCTGCGATGGGAAAAAAAAAAACACCTGGAGCCTGCCGGGCTGGCACGGCTCGGCACAGCCCAGCACGGCTCGGTTGTGCGGTGGAAAATACACGGCTGAGCAAGCCTAACGGGCGACACGAATAAACACGTCCGTCTGCATCCTTTATTACTCTGTGTCGCATCTAAATATAATGCAGGTTTATATATATGTGTATATGTATGTATATGTCTTGATGACACCGCACTTCAGAACCCGGTGACCCGAGTTCGATTCTCGCTCACGGACACCACCAATGAGTAATAGCCATTGTCTGAGTAAACTGGTTGTTGCATTGCGTCATCGCGCTGCAGAATAACATCATTGCGTTTGCAGCATGACGTCATTGCGTCGCAGCTTGGCGTAAATGCGTTGCACCAAAGAGTAATCCTTGCAGTCACGAAAGCTTCAAATCTAGAATTGCACCATGGCGTCATTGCATTGCAGCATGACGTCATTGCGCCGCGGCAGAACGTCATTCCGTT